TGGTAATATTTGGGGTCACAAGTTTTTGCAATGAATATTTTGTGGGTCAGAAGATAAAAAGTTGGGGAACCACTGCATTAAACTAATACCAATCTTCTTCTACAACTTTGGACATATGAGACTCAAAAACCCATGTTGATTTGTACAACACTTTGTCAATGATTAATTCAAATRCAACTTTTGCAATTTGTGCCATTGACTGGAAAAATATGAATGATTAAAAATAAATAATACCTTTGATAGTACAATGAGTCATTTTTGAGATATTTTAAAAAGWAGTTTCTAATACAAAACCAAGATTTTTGACTGGCAGTGTCCTCTGTGTGTTTCATTATTAGGGCTACAGTAGTCTGAGATTCCGTCCAATCAGACATCTGAGTTCACCGGTTGAGGATCTGGAGATGTGTAAAGTGGTGGGAGTGAGCGATAAGGTAGAAGCATTTCTCTGCAAATTCTGCACATTTGCAGYGCATGTTTGCTGATAAAACATTTTAGTCAATGATCCACTGGGCTCTAACCATGAAAGTTCTTCACAACGAATTATTCTTGTAATAATTGACCTGCTTTACTGTMGTAACATGAGCGTGTTCTTATATTTTTAACTCCAAAGGTCCTAATTGTCCAAAGCATGGTAAACAAGGAGACATTTGTTGTRAAGGTAAGAGTTTAGGATAAATGAAAATGTACACGTAATCACTTAAGCATACTGTATATGTGATGGTTGGTGGGTTGATTTKTGTAAACAAACCAGGTCATGTACCCTGTGGTGAGCTAATCGAAGTCAACAGTCTTCATAATTTCTCAYTGAGTATCAGTAAGCATCAATCAATCAAGCATCCCTTTCAGATGATGCAAGTTTACCTCTTATTCCAACTCATGGCTGGCCTGTGGCATAGGCAGTATAGGCAAATGCTTAGGGCGCTGTCCATGTAGTGAGCACTACAACTGGGTAATGAAAAAATAGTTTTATTACTTTTTTAACAGAGTACAGTATAGTTGATTTAGTCTGCAGAATAATCACTGGTTATTCGGATTTATGAAGGTAACTTGTTCTGTGGGTGTCTCAGCTGCTTTGATAATAGGAGGTTATATAGTCCAGAGGATATTTCATGCTAAAAGTATCATATGATGCAGTCAAGACTAACTACTGGGGCTCAGTGTGAATTTAGAAAACAAATTAAAGATAGTGGAAGATTAATTTTGACCTCAGATAAACTTTAGATGAAAGTCTGGTTTTCATTGTTCTACCTTAATAAAATACTGATTTTATGTTGTTTTATTGATCCAAAGAAATTAGTCAAATGCTTCTCAGGTGGCTGGAAAATGCATTGTTTTGAGTAGATCTTTTGCAAAGATTTTCCCCTAGAACTGCTTCACTCCACAGCTGTTCAAACATATTTACCAAAAATAAGTGCTGGGTTTTTTTAAGCATTGCAATTCTTTCCCCCATTTTCTATAATTAAAGAAAGTATAATTTTTTTTGTAAATGCTTTTTTTCCCCAGAGCCTGGTCAAATCAAGCTGGGAAAGCAGAGATCAGACAACTGTYATTCCCCAAGGAGTGCCATGCATGGTTAAGCTTCTAAGATATTATGTCAGTGAGGATGCTGTGTACCTCCATCTGGAACACGTGAAGGGTGAGATGTTTACATCTGTTCACACTGTTGACACATGTGTGATTTGTTTTTAAAGCTGATAAAAACTATTCTATCAATCTTTCACCCAGGTGGGAGGCTCTTCTCCAAGTTGCATAAACTGAAAAATGAGAAAGCCAAAGAACACCCGGATTGCTTCACTTCTAGCCAACACAGCARCAAGATGAAGACCAGCCACACCTCACCCACAATCAACACAGACTACCAGCACAGCAGCAGGAGCACAGCGGTGATYCCACACAAACTGACTGATGAGAGCCCAGATACCGACTTTCCAACCTCATGGGATGAGACTCAGCAGCGCCTGGAAAGCTGCGGGACTCACTCCTACATAGAGGAGACGGGTTGTTTGCGGAACACGCGCTCCGCGGCGGCATTTTACACCAAGCTGGATCAGTTAACCCTGCTCTCCGGCCTTACTCGGACACAGGTTACCACCCACATCCACCCACCAGCACCCAGTTTGTGTTTGCACTCCAGCGAAACTCAGGACAGGCCCGCTCTTCCTCTGCCTTGCACACGTGTCAGTCAAACGCTTGACGTTGTGTCAGAGCTCCACAAAAAAACGGCAGGGATGGGGCTGATAGAGTGCAGTTCAGACTTTGAAGCAGCTTGGAAAGCGGCAGATCCATCCCACGACTGTGAGAGGATAAACCCCTATGCAGTGACTGACAGTCATTTACCAAGAACACTCGGAGAAACTGCACCTCAGACAAATCAGACCTCATTCAAAAAAACTGGCTCACCTAAAAGTCAAAGTAAGGTTTTAAGTTCTTCTCCTGCCATTTTGCATCTTCCTCTCCATTGCCAAACCCAAATCCATGGCAGGGCATCGTGGGATACGAATGGCCCTCATCAGGGATCTTTTATAAATGGTAACTCTGCAGAAGTAAACACAGACTTGAAGCTAGGCGGCAGCAGCCCTACTGTTGAGGAAAAAAATGGAATGATAGTCATCAGGAGCACAGACAGAGCAGTGTTTTCTGACCACATGGATACAAAAATCGCTTCTCTGACATCTGCTGCTTCCATTCACCAAAACAGCGCAGAAAAACAGGGGACGTTTTCAGGGGTAACAGGCTTCAGCGGAGAAAAAGAAGATGCAGAAACAGCTTGTGAGGTTATGAACTCTAGAGAAAAGAAGCCAGCCCCAAAAGCCGCATCATATGTAAGTTGGTTTTCCTCTGGAGCCCCTGAAGCCTCAACTCAAACGAGTAAAAAGGAGGTGGAGGGTTTCCATAAACCACAAGGAGCAGAGAGGCAGGAAGAAGACCAGATCATTGAGGTCGATGGCTGGTGTCATCTGCCTCGGTTCCCTGCCCAGGCCCCAAAACCTGCAAATAAGGCCGTGCAGGCCTGCTGGGGACTTCCAGAAGCAGAGGTGCGTGTGTGGGGGGCACAGATTCTGTTGGCCCTGGAGAGTCTGCATCAAGAAGGCATCCTGTGTCGGGATCTCAACCCGAGGAACATTCTGCTCACTAGCAACGGTGAGAGCCATGATTAATAAGAAAACTAAAATATCTGGAAGCCTAACTTAAAAAAAAATGTTTTCACAGGAAAGGTGTGTTTGACCTTTTTCAGCCAATGGAGTGAGGTTCAGTCAGAGATCAGCTCCAAAGCCATGGAACAGATGTACTGTGCTCCAGGTAAAGTGCCACTCTTTAGCATCATCTGCCATCTAGTGGCCTTATTCAGTCAGTCCAAATACATCCCACATCCAAGAACATCTAGAGATGTTCATGGACAAATGAACAGAAACATAACCAGAGGTGTATTTTACATTTACTTTGTTACAGTACTTCAGTTCTTTTTTTTAAGGATCTGCAATTTTACCAAGAATTTTTAAAAATCATAACTTATTTTTATTTCATTACATTCAAAACATAAAAATGATACTAGGGTCCTAACGTCCGTTGAGCTGATAGTCCTCTTTTGCATGTGAACAAACCCTTTTGATTGCCATTGTTAACTTGTTTGTCCACCATGTTTACCTGCAACTCTCAGACTGAAGAAGTCTCTTGGAGAAGAGACAAAACAATTTTTCAACAAAGAAGAACCCATCCAGAGGACCTACTCAACTTTTTTTAAAGATTCTTTTACTTCTTTACTTTTAAATTTAACTCATTTTAACACGCTACAAATTTAAATATGACTAGAACTCATGAAATGGGTTTTTATGCACTCTAAGATATGTTGAGTTTAATTAACCAAATTATATSAACTGGTCTGTGATTGACTTGCGACCTGTTTAGGGTGTACCCTGCCCCTCGCACAGTGATTGCTGGATATGGGCACCAGTGACCCCAGTGACCCTGGAAGGAAGAAGCAGGTATAGATGATGGATGGATGTCAACTGGTAACACTAAACCAAGTTGCGTAAATCTACAGCAATTAATTCATTTAGGTTTAGTGAAACCAGTTGRCATAACTTAGTTAATTAAACTCAACTCTTCATTTCTTAAAGTGYAGGTAAAAATACTTTTACTTTTGTATTTACTTTCCCAATTATTGAGMAGTTTTGTGACTTTTACTTAAGTACTTTTCTTATCAATGACATTCATTTTTACCAGTCATTTTCAATTCAGGTACTTTTACATTCACTTAGTTTTTTTTTTTTTTATTCCACTACTTTATAGACCTCTGATCATAGCTAAACTCAACTCATTGTGTGTTGACAGAAATTGGGGGAGTCTCCAGGATTACAGAAGCCTGTGACTGGTGGAGTCTTGGGGCTCTGCTGTTCGAACTCTTAACAGGAATGGTGGGRTGAAAGCAGGAGAAACATATTCAGAATATTCAATTTGGTGTCATTAATACAAACCATTTTCAATTGAAACATCTTTTTTTTTGTTCTACCAGCCACTGTGGCAGCTCCATCCAGCAGGGATCCACTCCCACACCCAGCTGGTGATCCCGGACCACCTGAGTGCTGCAGCTGCATCTCTGCTCACAGAGGTCAGAAAAGGATGGAGTGTGTTTTCAGCTCAGCAGATCTTGTTCAGTCAAACCGACCCTGATGCTTGAATTCTGCCGCCTTCTGCTCCACAGCTGCTTCAGTTTGATGCCGGTTATCGTTTGGGTTCTGGAGGCGGAGGAGTGAGCGACATCAAGTGTCACCCCTTCTTCAGCAGCATCTCCTGGAAAGCTCTGTCCTGCTAGCAGAAGTGGTTGGAGCACATCTCTCCTGGATGTAGCACTGATTTCAGCTGCATTTTGTGCTTCCCAAAGAAAAGGTTTTTACAGCAACTGAATAAAGTTGTGAAACATGCTCCATCCATAACATGAAACTGATTTCTTTTTAACTTTTATGATTCTTACTGGAACTGGTGTTTAAAAGTTTTGATAGTTAAGTTTTACATGAACTTTGTATCACCACGCATGTCTAGAAATCCCATTGAATTATGTATGATAAATGGAAAGGAGTATTGTTTTTATGAAAAGTAACATTCTGAAATACCGCCCATTTTGAGTTTATAGATTATATCCAGCTCCATTTACACTACAAAATCATCTATGGACAAAACATTGCAATGTTATATTAAATTGAAGTTGGGTATATGTTTCCAGTTTTAGTTACAACTTGAGCTACAATTTGTTTGATCAGCGTTGCCTATTTTGCCCTTTTTACTCCCAGAACACAAACGTTTGGTTTAGCAGTTCTCAACCCACAAACCACAATTTATTCTGAAAACATTTCAGTGTTGAAATCTAAGTTTATCATCAAGTTTCTAATTGGCAAGATCTATGATTTAGTTTGACCCTGAAACCAATAAAGGTACAAAAAACACCCAAACAAAAACTGCCGTTGGATAATGAAGTTTTTATTGTTTAAAACTTTCCATATTTCCTTAAATACTCTATCTCACACAGCAAAAAGTACATTTTTTCCTGAACGTTGTGGACTAAATGGCATAAAATCATTGAGAATTTCTTCACTTTGGAGACTTTAAAACATAGTGTTTGCAGGTTTTTTTTTTTAGCCCAATGTCTTCTTGTTCTTCTCTCAACCAAAATAAAAGTTGAAGTTGTGAAGCTGAAAATGTACTGCCTGTCATCTCATGATAAGTGATTGTTTTTGTATATATTTCATGTAGAAAATGACATACGGCAATTTAAAGATTCGTTTTTTTGATCTAGAAACCAGCACCAGAAACCCCAGAGCCTAATTTCCTCATGAATAGCACCAAACCTTTAATCCCTGCCAGTCTTACAAATGTCCATTGCACAACCCAACTTCTCGCCAGAAAATCATTTTTTTTCTTCTGCTTCTAGTTAACCAATACAACAAAACATTAACTGTAGTTATAGTAATGTTCATCAAGTGCGTACAGCCTTTGTTGGTGTGGGAGGTGGTTTGGTTGGGCTTGGGGTTGACGAGGAACAGTTCACATGTCGAGGAGCAGCACCCTGGGGTCCTCCACCACTGACTTGATCTTGCGCAGGAAAGTGACGGCCTCTCTTCCATCGATCAGACGATGATCGTAGGTCAGAGCAACATACATCATGGGACGGATCTCCACCTAGTTGAAAGAAGATAAACAGAATTAACAAACCGTTCATAAMCAAAACTGGAAAGCAAAATAGTTAACCCGTTAACAGACTTTGTTCCACCAGTGGGCAAAAACGATACGGTTTCTCACTTTAAACATTTCCAGACGCTACCGGGGGCTTTTATTTTGAAAACTAGGTTGTCAAACGACTTCCTCAGATGTTCTTATCTTTAGTTTGACACCCTTACCTAAAATGTTGAAATGCTTATAGGGACTTAAAAGCAGCATACTAACTAGATATAGGATGGTGAGTTTGGTGGCAATCAGACTTTAAATCTTTAAAACAAAGTCAAAAGTTGTTGTAATTTTGCGCTGTAGGAAAAAAAGAAAGTTTAGGCAGAAATKGGTGTTGCCTATACCATGTGACTCAGTGGTGTCCAGGGATTACGTGGCTATAAGCCAAAAGATTTTGTGACTTATGTTTAAGCCAGAGGAACAAATGCAAATACCTTGATTATGGCGCCCCCTATAGGTTGACATGTCTGATACTGTATATATTTTCTCTTTTCTTCTATCCTGTTAAAATCTTCTTTGGAGCCCCTGCAGTTTGGGCTGCAGTATGAGTTATACCGACAGAATAATAATAATAATAATTTACAATTTCATTTCTAACTATAGGTTTTCATAAACTTTAGTCTGTTGGGCAGGTGGGTTCATAAAATGTTTGTGTCAACAATATTTCTGCCCTGTCTCTCTCTGAATGAATGAATAGGCTACTTTGATAAAATTTGATTACGTAACATAACAATTTTATATAGAAATTTTGCAAATATGTTGATAATTTCTTTCTGAATGAGTTTCCTGTCAAAAATATTCTGCAAGTACATAGATTGCATTGTCCATCTGAAGAGTCTCTGACTGAATATAGTGTTGATTTCTCAGTATTTTCAAGCAGATAGTTTGTACATAGTCGTTCACTAAGTTGGAGAAATATTATTTTTTTCCTACAATTGGGGCTCCCAGATCACGTTAAGGCTCTGATGCTGCTGCCAACAAATATATAAGATGAGTAGCAGTACACATTTTATGTTTGACCAAGGTTTTATTATGGTTTTTATTCATTCCTAAATTGAGAACAAAGGCAGCCCAATGGTTTCACAATTTGATAGTTCAGTTTGCAGCATTTTTATTCTTATTTGCTTTCACTGTCATCTTTGCTTTTCAGTGGATTTCAGTCCATCTCCTTTGAAGCTCCACAGACAAGCATCACATGTTAGAGAGCAGTTTGAGCTTCAGTCCCTCCTCATGGCTCCGCCCTGGCTGTGGAGCGTCGACGCTCCTGCCTCCCAGCAGAGACCTGACAGTCTGCGCAGGCCGGCAGCTCGGAAACACGACCAGCGCAACAGGTAAGGTCCCATCACTCACTCCGGGTCTGTGGGGAACCAGAGGAGCCCAGGAGCTGTCTGCTGCTCACTTTATATCCGAACTCAGCGTCAGTTTGGTTTTATTCTAAGAAAAAAAGATTTCAACTTGTTACTGTTTGACAATTAGCTGTATAACTTTTTGGTTGGACTAATGTGACATTAATTATTATTTTTAGTGAACGTTTCTGGATTTTTATTATTCAATTTGTCAAAAAAAAAACATAAAATGTGGATTGTATTATTTAGGAGGATTTATTTTATACAGTTGACATACAGACTAAATAGAAACNGGGGCAACTGTTAAGCGGTTAAGATATTACTTTTTAGGTTCCAATATGACAAAAAAAGGTTTATATGTCTAATGTAATCAATAAGCTCGAGTGGTATGACTATATTTTGATATACGGCGGTATGAAAATATGGTGACCGTATAAGTCATGTGAGGTGATAAGCCAAATTTCCACAAGGCTGCTATATTTTGACAGTTGTTTAACTTGTACATCACTTAAAAAGAATTACTAATACCACATCAATACTTTTCAAACACATTTCAGTAATAGTTTAAGAGGGTACAAACCTTGCCACCGACTGCAACAGGTCTGTCAAAGATGCCATGCATGCCTAAAATAGCGGACTGTGGTGGGTTGATTATAGGTGTGCCGAACAAGGACCCAAACACACCGCCGTTGCTGATTGTGAACGTGCCTCCATCCATGTCCTCAACAGCCAGCTCATTCTTACGGGCCTATGAGCACAGTTAGTTTTTTTATTTTACACCACATATTAACATGAAGAGAAAACAAAATTGAAATGTCTCTGGTGTGCAATGAAAAGTTACCTTTTCTCCCAACAAATTGATAGCCTTCTCAATGTCAGCAAAGTTCATTCCCTCCACACTGCGTATTACAGGAACCACCAAACCCTTAAATAAAAAAATACAAAACATGAGACTTTTCTAGTATTCATTTTAAATGGCTTTAAAATACTTTTTTATTTTTTTTATTTTTACCTTTGGAGTAGCCACAGCCACACTGATGTCAACATAGTCCCTGTACACAATTTCTTTGGTTGTGTCATCAATCACTACAAAACACAGAGAACATGAATATTGTAATAATCAATGTTGGATTTTTTTAAACCATGAGAAAAAATTCTATGAAGATAAAGTTGTCTTGTGAACCACTTTCTGTCTCGTGCAGTTAGAAAGTTGTAGGAAATAAACCCACAGACCATTATAAATCTTTAAAATGCGTCAACACAGACCCCACCTGCTTCATTTTGGTTTACCTAAATGGGTCAAAGTAGTCTAAAGGAAGTAAATAAGTTAGACATGGTTTTTGAGGTTAGGCAATAAAACAGTTCTGAAGCTTGAATCTTTTTCTTCACCGCACACACTTGGCATGCTTGACAGCAAACGTGCAAAGGCACAGTACATCTCAAACCAGAGCTAAGGTTTTCTCAGGCTTGAAAGGTTTGATTCTTTACCAGCATTGACTGCAGGTTGGTCAGTCAGTGCCTGAGCAGCAGCCTTGACAAACGCAGACATGAAGCCCAGCTTGATGTTGTGTTTTTTCAGAAACGCATCTTTGTACGCCTTCCTCATCTCTGTGATGTTGCTGCACGAAGAAAAAGAAACGTTTAGATCAACTAACGAGGTGACAATGAGACAAGCATCTTTCACTCTAAACAGCAACAAATTCAAGTCTAAATTGTCCCTAGGTGTGATTGATTGTCTCGTTCGTCTCTATGTGGCTCTGTGATGGACCTGTATGAAAGCCAGTGTGCCCCGTGTCTCTACAGTGAGCACCAGCGACCCCTGCAATCTGGACAGGAAGAAGCGAGCAGATAATGGAGAGATGAATAGAAACGTATCCAGGCAACACAACTAAAATAAACAAGTGTTTTAAAAAGTTGCAAAAATACTGGAAGATACAATATATCTGATAGTGAGGAATAAAGCTATTAAAATTGGGCTGCTAATTGTTTCAGTATTGCTCATTTTTCCTCTTGTATCTCTTGTTTTAATTGTTTGTTTTCCTGTCTCTAACCCTGTTGAAGTTCTAGGGTTTCTCCGCTAACGTAATTAGCCCCTCCCAAGACACAGACTCTCCGAGAAAGGAGAGAAGAAGCGATAAAAATCTTCACTTTCTAGGGCCTGTAAATCTTATTGGGCTGTCATAAAAGCCCATATCGGTTGAGGCAGCTCTTCCACTCAGAGCGCAGGTCTCTGTGGGCCTCCGCAGATGCTCCAGCCTCCTGTTCGGACGAGTTCCTTCGGCTCCAGATGAGCCCTAGACTGGCAAGTCTTCCTCCAGACCATCAATGTCAATCCAATTAGGATGCACAGAAAACCCTGAATAGCCGAAAGCCGACACCACACATTTGCGGGGAAAAGAAATCCTCAAAGTGTCCTCTTCAGCACAGGGGGCAAGTGCAGACAATAACATTTCCTTGTAAATTAATAAAAACCTGTTTTAACATTTTTTATCTTCGTTTATTATTCAATTATGACCAAATATTTACATTCCAGTGTTTAAGAGGATATAAGGTTTCAAAAAGCTTTTCCTATTGAGCAGATTCCAATCTATAACCATTTGTGGAAGTGTTGCTTTGCCTTTTATCTGTGGTATATGTCATACTTATACTGGAAGCCTTTATACGCAAACGCAGAAAAAAATCAACAAGAAATTGTGAGTTTTCTCTTCAGTATGCTCTGTTTATGTATTAATAAAAATGAACACACAACACACATACATGTAATCTAAAATAAAATTGAGGGCTWAATAATCTAGGTCAACTTTTTGGAAATTTCCTACCTCATATCGACCTCATTAAAAGTAGTGAGCATKGCGCAGGTGTTTTGGGCTTCTTTCAGTCTCTGGGCAATTCTTAGTCTCATGCGGTTCATCTTAACCTAAAAATATACGTTGTTAGCATCAGTAAATATTTACCTATTTCACAACTTTTCTTTACAGCGTAAATTAAAACATCACGTAAGATGAAATATTCTGATGTAAGTTTTGCTTCTCACCCTGCTCTCTGTCCTTGCTGCTTTAGCAACTCCTTCTGCGTGGGCAGTTGGCACAGCTGGAGCAGCAGTGGGCTTGATGGCTGAAACTTTGAGAAAGATGGAGATTTAATAAATAAATGAATGAATGAATGAATGAATGAAACGTAACACTCCGTAAATGCATTGACATTAAGCGGGGCAGCTAAAAAATAGGGTGTACAAAATCCCAAACAATGATTAGTTGCATAAGTTAGAGGTCAAGAACGCAGATGTGAAATAAATCGGTTCTCACATGACGCAGGCCCGTCTGTCGGATCAGAACTAACCTGGTTTGGTGTCCATAGCATGTGCTGGCACAGGTGGCACAGGGGGCATGGTGGTGGGAATGGGGCCCACGGCTGAAGGGGGAGGGGGAGCTTGAGCAGCAGAAGGTGGTGGAGGGGCTGTAGCAGCTGGGGCCTCTGCTTTTGGAGCTTCTGCAGTTTTGGGAGCACCGGCTGAAGATGCAAACATCATCAGTTCAGACAACATGGGTTTGAAACTTGGTGTGTTTTTAGTACAAACTCAGCGCAGACATACCTCCCTTTTTAAGTTTGAAAAGTGGTGTTCCTCCTTCAACCTTCCCCCCATCTGGAACCAAAAGCTCCTCAATCACTCCGGCAGCAGGAGAGGGAACTTGTACTGATGTCTAAAAGCATTGAAAATGTATCGAATTTATATTTACATGAAAAAAAAAAAGGCTAACACAAATATATAAGCCTAGCATTTCTTGGAGGAATGTAAAGTGCATGTCGGGGTTTTAAACTAAAATAATCTTACGCTGAGAAAGGATGAAGTTCTAATATTTGTTTAAATTCGTAAATGACGTTACGTGCAATAAAACAATTTATTTAACATTAATTTAGCTTTACCTTGTCCGTTTCAATTTCACACACCACCTCATCCTCAGAAACGGTGTCTCCAACAGCTGTAGAGAAACAAAACTTATTTTAACAACTGGCTGCATTTCATGATAAGCCCCTGATGTAGTCTTTTCAGCTGGGAACATTACCTTTCTCCCACCTCACATCCCCCTCTGTGACAGACTCTGCAAATGCAGGAGTCTTGACAGTGATAACTTCATCTCCTGAAGAACATAAATAAATGATTAAATAAATAAATAAACAAACAAACATATATACCTAATTTCCCTTTGGGATCAATAAAGTATCTTTGAATTAGAATTTTTTAATTGAATACATTTTCACACATCAGTAAACGTTCTTCATAATCAACCAGGCATGAAAATAAATGACAGGCTACATACTGTAGGCTACAGATGTCCTGAAGTACTGAATTTGGAAGCCACTGGATCGGGGGCTGTATTTTCTAAAAGCAAAAAAATAAAAATAAAAATAAAAAATAAAGCAATATTTACCATATAAATAAAATAAACATTTCTTTTATCTTTGATTCAGTAAAGAAGAATTTAAGCTATTTCTGCAGGATAGATTGATAAAATCAAAACAAAAATAGGTCTATGACTATTAGCCAACTCCATCATGACAAATTTGTGATGTAAAATATTTCATCCACTTTTTTCTGTTATCTCTGTGTGAATGTCGATACTTACACACTGTTGTTTAAAGTAATGGGATGGATAGCCGATAGAACTGGTAAAATAAAAAAAAGGAAACATATAAATATGTTTTTTTAGACAATAAGGTGAGACTGTGCTTGAACAGTAAGAAAACATACCTGAAGTGGACCGCCGGGCTAACACATTATTCCCCTGTGTAAAGACGCAATCCAGTAAATGATATATATATA